AGTTTTCTTCATCCATATTCATTTTCCTCCTTGTGTTCCCAAGTTTGGGTAGAAATACTTAGTGCTCTGGTATTTCTACGACATGGCTTGATTAATCCTACAAACCATTTGCCGAAAAACCCTTAAACATCTTATTCAAACCGGAGAGAGGGCAAATATCGTTTGAGGACAGCGATATTGTGTTTGACCCTTTCATGCCATTGAAGTTCTTGGTCATTTGCATCGGTTACTTCCAATTCTTTGTGTGGAATATCAAAGTCTACAAAAGGAGAGACTACAATATGCGTGAATTTGAGATAAGTTTATCATCTTCTTTAGTTATTTCCATTATTTAATTTAAGTTTGATCATGGTTGTGTTCATCGTGTTGCTGGTCATAATTGCTGATTTCTACTCTATTTCCTCTCTTGGTGATATATTATTACCGTGCCAACAACCACTCCATCTCCATCTTTGTCTCTATGAATCCGCAGCAGTTTCGCCACCTTTGTCTATGAAGTTCCGTAGGACAACAATCAGCATTTGTTCCGGTTCGATTCGAGGACTGGTTTTCGCCCGTGATTTCCTCAAATGGGCAAAGTCGAGGACTGGTTTCAAGTCCACCGATGAGGTTTACTCTTATTTTGTTGATTTACCCATGAAGTTTCGATGGCCATGGAATAGCCGGGTTAAAATGTCTGGAGGCCCCCTAGTAAACAGGCTTGTTCGGGTTGGTAGACCTACACAAACTGTGGCATTGTTTGAGATTATGGAGAAAGATCATGGGTTTTTGAGAAATATGGATTCTTTGAAGCAAGGACTGTTGTAATGTTGTTCAACAATTAAATAATCAATTGTGGAATGATAATGGAGCATGTGGCTGGGAATTCTTAAACATGCGAAGTGGCTGGAAATTTGAACCATGCGACCCCATGGTTCATTTCACCATGCGGTCACATGGCCTCATACAGGGACTGAATGTCCTTGTATGGTTAACTCTGAGCGACTGCATAGAGTTGGTCTATGCAGTCGCATAGAGCAAGAATGTTACCGTTGGAAGCCATTTTTCTTTGAATTTTTTACCGTTTGGGTTTAAAATTGGTGGCTTTTCAACATGGTTTTGGCACCATTTCGTGGTTTATTTTAGTAGCCTATATATATATGATCTTGTTCATAGAATGTTGATAAAAAAACACGAGATCATTATTCTTCCAAAGCAATTAAAGTTCTTCTTCTTCTTCTTCTTCTTCTTCTTCATATTCAAATATCCCCTTTGTGTTCTCTTGTTGGGTAGAATTATATTCGTGCTTAATTATAATTCTGCAACAAGGCTTGATAACTCCTACAAATCATTTGCCGAAATCCTTAAGCATCTCAATCAATCCGGAGAGGGGGAAAATTTAGTTTGAGGATAGCGATCACATGTTTAGGCCCTCCAATTTTATTACGGTATTTTGTTCATGGTTCGTTGCAGATCTTGGTGTATTTATTCTCCTATTCCCGGTGTCATTTCCAACAGGGACTGATGGAGGGCAGCTACAGCCCCACAACTGATTTTTATTTAGTTAGAAAAAAAATCATGTGTAATTTTTTTTTTACATATTAGTC